ATAATTTGGAAGTTTTGTTGTCCCATTCATCACCTGTACTTGTGCTATTGTCTGCTGTTCCATGGAAAAGCAATCAATGAATCTGCTCATACTCAGGCTTTTTTCCAGCTCTGCCAAAACCTCATGTGTCTAAAGCTCCTATCAGCAGGTACCAATGGGAAGGGCAGGTGTGGAGCGCTCACCAGCACGCCGGCCTTCCTGTGACCAAAACTCCCTCATCTTTGAGTCCCTCCCATGGCTCTCTTCCCCCTGTTGAGTCATAATCCTTGCTCTTATCTTCAAAGTCTCTCAAGCCGTACTCTCCTGGACTAATTCAGTAATGTTGCATCATGTCGCTCCCCTGCCCCTGCTCCATCTATAGCAGCCATCGTGTTTTCTCATGTCTCTTCTCCTAGCCCCTCTTCACTCATTCATCCATGCGATGACTTATGTGTGTCATGGCCTTCCCTCCCACATCTTTACATTCCCTCCTTAGGCCCTGCCTTGAGGCACTTAAGAGAATCAGTCAGATGCTAATCAGAGAAGAAGCATTTATCTTATTAAAAAGAAAAATAAAACCAAAACTAACCCCAAACCCACAATCTTTTCTTATTAGCGTCGTAGCCAGCATTGTGATGAGAAGGAAGGGACGATTCTGTCTGAGGCTTTTGACATAATTAAAAAAAAGAGCAGTAAGCTTTGTGATAAATAGCAGGGTCACGTTTTTTCTGGTTTCATAAACATGGATCTGGATTAACTCTGATGTGAATTATGCAGAGCCATCCTGGGATTTACGCAGCAGTGTTGAGACCTCATCTCTGTAGACTGCTTCCAAGAGACAAAGCTCTTGCCACATCAGCAAGCTTTTAGAGGTTTCTCTGCCTTTTCAGTCAACTGCACTTTTCTTTTCAAGCTTTCCTTCTTTTACCTGGTTCAAAAATTCACAAGAGGGCCACCCTCCGGGGACTGTATTAATCCTCTTTTCCCATCCCACTCTGTAGAGCATGCTCATGGACTGCTGCAACCCCATGGGACTCTACTGACATACTAAACAGCTCTGACCACATGCAGATTTATGCTTCCACTCAATGCAAAGCAGAAGTAGGACCACTGTTTCTGAAGGAAATCTCGGATTAAAAAGAACTACGTCACAGGGATGAATTTCAACAGAAAGGCTGCAAAAGGAAACTACCAGTTACCACTTTCTGCTTGATTTTCCCTGGACATTTGTGGATCAGATTTTCATTTCTATGAATATTTAAAAACATTTATCCTTTTGCAAAGCATGTTCCTATGAAATGCACAGATCCATAAAGTCAACTCTATGTATTTTCAGAGCAGAGCAATAAATGCATCAGCTTGAAGTCGAGGCAACATATATGTCTAAACTGGCCAACTGCTGAATGTGTTGAGAAAGACTCATGCTAAACAAGCAACCAAGTTTTAGACAGGCTGAGGAGACACATGTTCATGGCACCTCCAGCACCTGGAGCAATCACTGGAAAGTGCAGAAGCAACAACTAGGGAGCAAGCCCCTGTGTGGTCCGTCTCTGGAGATGACCCCTTGCCAAGGCAACCTCTGTGCTACGAACTGCCTGGCAACCTGGTGGGTGTCTGGTTAGTCATTATCTGCGAAATGCTTCCGAAGCCGTTCTGGGGCCATGGTAGTGTCCAGCAGAACAAACAAGCAATAAAGTTTGAGGTTGGACTCAAATTAGCAGACCTGGCCAGAGAAAGATTAGGCTCTTTCAACATGCCTTTTTTTTTTCTTCTGCCTTCTCCTGTAAAGGCAGCTTACCTTGAATTGTGGACAGTAAGAAAGAAACATGGAGTAATTTATTTCATCATCCTCTGCCAGCGCAAGATTGTTCCCTAAAGCATATTTTCTACTGATTTGTTCTGCTTACCATTAGAAGACACAAGTAATAGCCTTCATTCCTTTCATAAGAAGACTAACAGACATCAACAGTGGGATTTTTTTTTCTTGAAAAGAAGCCAAATGTATTTTCTTTTTCTCTTAATTATATCTTGCTACTGTTAGTTAATCTTCTTGCAGCAGTCCTTGCCTATTTCTCTCCTTGTTGAGGCCCTCGGCCTCCATTCAGGTCTTTCCTTCTCCTGCCGGATTTCAGCCAACTTATGGTATCTTTTTCATTTTAAACTAACCCTCTAAGACCTGGCAAGGTTATATCTGTGTTCCTACAGGTATCTTCTAACAACCAGATATTTTACTGAGTGACAAGAGAAGGGAAACAAATAGGTGATAAAGCCTGTGCTTTTAAATGTCAGTTCTTTCCCAACCATTTAAAAATTATCATGGGGAACTTTGATAAAGGTTCAGACTAAGGTATTGAGAGACAACTTTTTTTTTTTTTCTCCCCAGAAATAATATTTTTAAAGTACACAGGAGCAGGGAGTGGCTGGGCATGTATAGGGTTAATCTTGTCTGCAAAGTAATTGAGAAAATCCACTGGTTTCTGAGGACACTCTATTACTAGCCTCAGGTAAGAGAGCCTCCAGGGATTTAAAAGCAGTCAATAGCTCTAAAAAAAGACACAGCAAGCCTTTGGTTCTGGTTGATATTAAGTTAAAGCAGTAAGTCAGTGTAGCTTTTCCATACCAGCACTGTCTTTGGACTTAAATACACAAAGCTGCTTCTGGTCTGAGAAGCTGGCTCCTACTCTGCTCAGTATTATTCTTCCCTGTCTCTATCCCCACCCATTGCACTGACTCCTGCAAGACTGTAGTGAGCCATAGGACTCAGCAGCCTGGGAACTAGGCTGGGGACAGTAATTGTAGCTAAGAGTTAATAGTTGCTTCCTAATCATCTGTTGGGGCCAGTGGAGAGATGTTACTCTACCTCCCCTGTCAACACAGTAAATGTTACACCAGTACAACGAAGAGGTACCCCAGGTGTGCCACTGCCACGGCATGCAGCAGGCACTTTTCCTACAGGCTTCTCTTGGGAGAGTCCCTAACACCCCAGCCCAGCGTGTGAACAGCGTTGGAAGAGCTGAAGCAGTATGGAGGATATTCTGCTGCCTATGATCACTTACTTTAGAAATAAATAAGCCTGCTTAGCAGAGAGATTTATTACGAGCCATAAGGGATTATGAAGCCGAGTCACTTTGATTCATTAGAGCATTCAGGGAGTTTGTGTAAGTTCCTGGAAACTGTCTGGGGTGGTCTTTAACCACACTTTTACTGTTACCTGATGGTGAAGGGGAAAATTGGAACGCACTTGTGCTGAATTTGTTTTTCCCTACGTTTGGTAATAGATTTTGACAAGCTGTTTAAAGGACTGAGCCTTCTTACTTGTGCTGTGCCGAGCCATCCTTCCAACTCAGCTACACGTAGCCTCTTCTATTCTTTCCTCCCTCTCTATAATATTTAATCAACAAAGCCCTACCTCCATTTCCCTGAGGCCAGAGTAATGCATCTTTGTGCATTTAGAAACCTCCTACGCATGTGAACATGTCCTTTGTGCAGTGATGTTGTTTTAATTAGCCACATCTCTCTTTTTGGCCAGAAATCCATGACATGACTGTGTACAGCTTTCCTGCAGACAAGAGGCAGCACAGCACCCTTGGTGCCTAGCTGTGGGTGGTGGGCTGGGGGCTAGGGTTGAAAGGGGAGAGGAGACAGGCTGTGTGCCTGGGGCTGGCAGGGGAAGGGAAACAAAGCTTGGGCAGGAGAGAGCGGGTGAGAGAAGGCAAACCTGGTGACCCTGGGGATAAGCAGGGAGGCAGAAGAGCCCTGTGTAAAACAGATCGGAAAGCATGGCATGAGACATCCTCTTTGTAATGACCAATGTGTTGTGGAAAACAGCTAATTAGAGAAGATGATATTAGGCCAAAACTATTAAGACAATAACCCTCCCAAGACCAAACTACACAAGGCAACAGTTGAATGCTAGCATAACTATCCTTAGCTGCAGCAAGCCACAAGTCTGTCCCAGATGGTCTCATCTCGCATTCAAAGTGCTTGTTAGATAACATGCTTATTCGTATTTTAGGCTTTCTGTCCTTAAAATTGTGTCCAGTATTTTCCACGTGAGTATCAGTCCATTCAAAAAGAGCTGGCTTAGAGACCTCTAAAGTTAACGCCTTTCAGAAGGTCCTGCAATGTTCAGCAAGTTTCATTTTCATTAGGGACTTAACTCCTCTTAATTCCATAGCGTCAGATTAGGAATTTTACTGAATATTCCTTAAATCCCTAGTCATGTAAATATTACCAATGGTAGGAAAAATATGCTGTTAATAGATGGTCCTTGTCGTGTCTAGATCAAGCTATGGAATATATTGTATAGCAATACTGGCTAAATCAATGTCCATAGCCAAGCAATGCCTACACTTGGGTTCTCAAATGCCTCAGCTTCAGCTTTATTACTAGCCAACACCACATGTTAGGGAGGCTACAAGCCACAGTTTATGGCATTTCCATTTTGACCCTGTCATTGCTGTGGTCTGCAGATGAGTAAAATGTGGGCTGCCTCTCCTCTTGGTGGGAAGTAAAACACTCCGTGAAATGCTCTCTGAACATCAAAGCAAGGCTGGCAAAGCAGAGGAAAGATCTCTTCTGGTTTTCAGTTCTGCCATAAGGAAAATGAACATAATCCTGACCCTAACTGTCTTGTAATTTTTATTAGCTCGCTTTGGCTTGCAGCAATGACCCGGTGAATAATGCATGCTGCTAGATGGCTTTCCTAAGGAAAGAAGGCTTACGCAATCGTATTGTCTGCCACTACCCGCTTTCTCCTTACCCCATAATAACTCAGAA